AAATTAGCCCAGTAGCGAGTACTGTTCTCTAGGAACGACTAACGTTCTTCGGCGTGCTTTTTTCCCGCCTTTTTTCGAAAAGGTCCCATTGTACTTTTGGTTTTGGCCAGTCACTTGTTTTGACCGTTCCATTGGAACGACTAACGTTTTTCCGTGGCCATTTTTGCAGCCTTTTTTCAAAAAGGCCCCATTGTAGTTTTGTTTTTTACCAGTCAATTGTTTTGACCATTCTCTAAGAACGACTAACGTTTTTCGACGGGCTTTTTTCCCACCTTTTTTCAAAAAGGTCCGATTTGTAGTTTTGGGTTTGTTTTTTGGCGCCATAACCGACATAGCAATTGCTTTCGTTATTTTTCACAGGTTTCTGCTCTACTAATTGCAGTATTCTCCTATTTTGCTGTGCTTCGTGTATTTCATTTTCAATTTAAATGATCTTCACTCCTTTCTTCCTTTGTGTACCTACCTTTTCTCTTGACGCAGCAGTTAAGCTACATTAATGTCTTGCATGTTATTCACCAAGTCGTGCGGGTCAACGCTATGTTATGTTTAACATCACCATTTTACTAACCTCTTTTGCATTTACTGCGGTTGTTTTTTACCATCTCAAACGTCTCACATTTCAAGTCGGTAAGTTATTATCTTATTGTTTTGTCAGTTTTAAGGCGCCCAAATGAAGGAACGATGTCTTAGAGTCATCACTGCTGAATTCTAAGACAGCCTAGTACGGTCCCTGGGCTACCTTCCGGGTACGCAGTCGTTATTCTTATTGCTGCGCCCTGATAAGGGCTGCGTACACCGTTGAGGGTTCGATTTAGGTCTTCTTCGGGGTGCTGCCTTCTAGTGGCGGGAGTCGTTATTAGCTGGCTGGTGCGTGCTGCCCCTAGTCTACACAGCCGCACCTGGCGGGGCCCAGTCTGCCTTGCCTGGTGGTGATGCCTCTCACTCACTTTACATCTGGCTATGTGCCTGCACATGCTCTATCGAGCTGGAGATTGTCTAGCATGCGGTAAATGAGGCACGGTAGGCCAAAAGGCCCTACAGACGTGCGGGCCTTTAACTGCCCATGGATATATGGCGGGACGGGCAATCACATTGCCGCCATCACCCGGCGGCCATAGGTCCCCAAGGCTATTACATTCTGCCTAGCCTGACTTAACATCTGTCTTACGGCTAAATAACATCGGGCTGTGATCTTGCCCAGCTACTGAGTGAAAGTTGGCGTTATCATCTTGCTTGGCGGGCTTGTCTCTTGTCGGGTCGTGTGCTCATACCATCTTCTGGGGTTGGTCTTACCGGCCGGTGAAGCTTAAGGGGCCCCAAGCTGCTGCGGGTTAGCAGCCCGCAGCAGCTATGTGCGTTGCTTTTGATGAAACTACTGATGAACATCAGTGGCCTGGCACAGTGGGCCCTACCAGTGATGCTTGATCTGCTCAAAGGGTGACCCATGGTGCTGGTCTCCTACCATGCCCGGACAGCGGTCGTGAGTTCCGAGGTCTCAGCACCGACGTTGCGCACACAAGGAGGCCTACCATAAAGATCATGTGCCTGAGCAAAGGAAGAAAGCACGCTGGGTCTAGGACGGAAAGGAACATGGTGGAGTTGGGTCTCTATGTCACCAGTAAGACCCTGGCGGTACAGTTTCCAAGCTGCTCTTCCGAGGCAATCAAGAAGATGCGACAGACGGTGGTGTATAAGAAAATCTTGGAATCGTTGACCGGTGTGCATGGAACGCATGACGGCCCGGCTGGGGGGAGTGCTTCTTCTCCGGCGGGCCATGGAACACATGACGGCAGGGTGGATGAGGGTGATTCCTCTGAAACTCAAACCAACTTCGGTGCAACATCATTGCCATCCCTACAGGTTACACAATAACAGCCTGAGACCGGGGTTTCCAGGCCCCAAACGACTGACTCCGAGGAGCAGTGTGGGTGGTCGGACGCCTTGAGGACGGCGCTGGAGGGAGCTCTTTTAGACTTGGGGGAAGTAACACTCGACAAGATCGTACCAGGTTGTCCCGATGACCGGGTAAGGAGCGCGTTGGATAAGGAGTATGAGGCCTGGTTGCCGTCTCGCGAGAGGCATGCGCCGGGTTCTCGTCCCCAGCCTCAACAGACCAAGGCTCAGGATCGACCTAGAGTCAGGTGCAGGACACAGTACCCCTGGGTTCAGCGGGAATACACCAATAACAGGTCCTGCTGTGCCCAAGATGTCATCTCGGGCGCCTGGCAAGATCCGCAAACTACGCTGCCAATGGGAACGCAAGAACCGTTTTGGAGAAGTCTATTTGTGCAAGCTTCAATACCCGACAATAGGAGTGCGCAGCCTGTGGGGCCGCCAAAGTGGCAACTTATGGTGCCCATAACAACTGAGGATGTCAATCGGTCTCTGAAGGGGATGAAGGATGGAGCGCCAGGGCCAGATGGCCAAAAGCTGAAAGACGTGAGAGCTATACCACATGACCAGCTGGCAGCACATTTCAATCTGTGGCTACTATCAGCCTACCTGCCGAGTACATTGAGAGGAGGCGAGACTGTGCTGCTCCCTAAGGTGTCGGGAGCCGGTGCCCCTAATGAGTTTCGTCCCATCACGGTATCCAATATCGTGGTGAGATGTTTCCATAGGATTATGGCAAAACGGATGGAGATGCATCTTCCGCCCAGTCTCCGTCAGAAGGCTTTCCGGAGAGGTGACGGAATAGCCGACTCGGTATGGTTTATGCAGACTGTTATCAAACACCATCAAGATACACTCTGCCCTCTCAACATTGCCTTTATGGACGTGAAGGGAGGCCTTCGACTATCTTACCAATCTATCTTGGTCGCGGCCACTCGCTTAGGGGTTCCAACGCCTTTCCTGACCTATCTGCGTGAGCTGTATGGCGATGCGCAGACTAGGCTTAGGATTGGCACTGAGTTGAGTGAACTGATCAAGTTGGGGAGGGGAGTCAGACAAGGGGACCCGATGAGCGTCCATTTCTTTAATGCCGTGATTGATTTGTCGCTCGACGGCCTTGGTCCGCAGCTTGGAACGGAGATTGGAGGTGTAAAAGTGAGCCACAACGCCTTCGCGGATGACATTGCGTTAATCGCAAGGTCCCCGGCTGGACTTCAGGCGCTGCCTGATGATCTGGACCACCAGTTGATGCTGTGTGGACTGGAACTCGGTACCGGCCTACAAGGAAAGTCGGAGAGTATCCGCTTGCACATAGATGGCAGGGCAAAACGCTGGATCGTGTATCCACATCCGTACCTTAGGGTGCGAGGCGAGTTAGTTCCAACACTAACTGTTAGCCAAGTCTATAAGTTCTTAGGGGTTAACATCAGCCCCAGAGTACTAAGGCGACCGTTGCGGAGACCCTTCAGCAGGGCTTGAGTAACATCAGTAAGGCCCCGTTGCACCCGCAAGAGAGGTTATATATCGCCAGTTGTCATCTGGTTCCCAAGATATTACATCACCTTACATTAACACCGTCAACTTCCAAGTACTTGCGATGGCTCGATCGTCAGATGCGATCTGCTGTTAGGTCTTGGCTGAAGCTACCGAAGGATACCTCAATCGCCTAGTTACATGCTAAGGCGGTTGATGGTGGACTCGGACTTCCTTTGCTAGAGCACGAAATTCCACTCATGAAAAGAGCTAGAACAGCTAGAATGGCTTTGTCTCTGGACCCGGTGGTACGTGCTATGTTGGAAACACCAGCTGCACGTAAAGTCCTTAGAGCTAGGCAAACCTCTCTCAATGACACTGTCGTGGCGACACGTCAGGGCCTTAGGAGTGCATTAGCCCAACAACTATATAGCTCTGTCAATGGGCGAGGACTGGCGCCAGCCCCACAGGTACCTGCCCAACATCGGTGGGTTACCTCCGGAGATATGACTCTTAACGGACACGCTTATATTGGGGCGATCGAGATTAGGGGAAACTTGGTCGCTACAGCTTTAAGATCAGCTAGAGGTCGTCCCCAAACTGACGTCAGATGTGACTGCTGTGGCAGGCCTGAGGACTTGCCACATATACTGCAGTCGTGTCCTCGGACACATACATCTCGCATTGCGAGGCACGATAAGATCGTTGATCTGGTGATATCTTGTGCGGAAAAGATTGGGTACGGTATCTGCCGTGAGCCGGCGATACCCACACCAGCAGGTATTCGTAAGCCGGACCTGATCCTAGTACACGATTACAACCTAACAATACTCGATGTCACCATCGTTGCGGACAATGCTGACCTCGAACAGTCCCATCAAGATATGCAAGTCTATTATGACGTCCCTGCCATTCGAGAGTGGGTCCAATCACGCTATGAGCCTAGGCACATTGTCTTTGAGGCTCTAGCAATGAGTTGGCGTGGCCTTCTGGCCTCAAGATCAGCTGCGGCGTTGAGACGGCTTGGACTGAGCGCACGTTTCCTTAGCCTGGCTTCGGCCGTGGCTTTGGAACATGGGACCTCGATCCTAAATCATTTCAGGCGCCCGACCTATACCATCACGTCTAGATGAAGGCACTTAATTTGTGCCCGATGCAGCCCTGAGAGCAGGTCGGTATTTGGCGGGTTAAGCTATCCCATACCATCAAAAATAGCGAAACCTTCAGACCCAATGGGCTTAAAGTGAGAATTGAGCGTCGTCTTGAAAGGGAACTTAGAAACGTTGGAACAAAGTGAGGATGCACAGTTAGGCGGTGCAGAGTAGGTCGACAATGATCTTTTTTCGTTTACCTTCCGGGCCTATACATGTGCTATAATTGACTGTTGGTATATCACATGTATGGGCGTTGTCGAGGGTTTTGTCATGTCTTGCTGTTTGCTATTATGTCATTATCATTTACTCATCTATTACAACAGTTCTTGCGCTGCTACGCTCAAAGTAGGGCCCTGTAAAGTTATGGGCAATCGTCAACATACTAGCAACACAACGCTAGTAGGGCGGCGCGTTAACACCTTGTTATTTACTTAAGTCGTCGTGACCTTGCAAGATTGGCAGTTGAAGTATTGTTCAAAGTCATTGATGGTATGTTACACTTTTGCACTTCAAATAGCCACACACCAAAGTTACAAGTGTTGATGACTTTAAACGATTCTTGTCTTGCATGGTTACGCGTCCTCCATATGCCATTACTATCCGAAACACTGAGACGCCACTCCCTTCCTTGCTAGTCACCTCATGGCGTCGGGTTGGCCAGCCGAAAATGTGCATTCTTTTTGGCAGAGACGTCACTCTTGCTTTATCCTGCAATATCCAGTCCCCCAATGAAGGCAACACCAGCTGGCCGAGCAACAGCAAGAACGCCAACAGAAACAGGAGGACTCCCAAGACTCCTTTATTGCCACCAATCATCTTCAAAACGCTGACGGACAGCTGCTCATCCACACAGAAGAGGCCGCGGACCTCGAATTTTGGGCCCGTTCCCAGAGCTGGACATTCTGTCCAAGGTGCGGGAAATTAGAACCGAGAAAGCTCCTTCCAGCATTCCGCCGAAAGGCCCCCACACCCCTCCACAATACGTGCAAGTCCAGCAATGCCACATACGTCGTTCCTGACCTCGATGATGTCCCTCTCCTCTTGCGGAACCTCACCATAGAAGATCAGCGGCTCTTCAGTCCATTTGACATCCACTGTGGCCACTATGTCTGCATGTTTAACGGCTACCGCCAGAGAAGGGGACCGTTTCGCATATCGTGGTGCAAACAAATCGTACAACAGAAGATCTGTCTTGTTGAGGATTGATGCAGACGATCATTCCTCCAGAAAGTCTACGCCCTGTTGCTATTGAAGGAAGACAGCTCTTACTCCCGTTTCATCCTCATGCATTTCAGAGGCGAACGACCACCATTCCTTTACGAAATCTTTTCCTCTCCACTTTACCGAGGTGTAGAGTGCGCTCTGTAGCCTGCCCTGTACCACACCACTTCCCTCTGTGAGAGTATACTGGAAGGCCAGGACAATCGGGCTAGTGGGAAAATCGCCTTTATGCACAAGCTGTTGTCACCCGTCCACGACGTTTCCATCAATTTCGAGATCTTACAGTACCAGTACGACCGGTGGCTGTTCAAGACCATTACTGGTGCAGTGAATGCCTCCAAGGCCTCCGGTTGCTCGCCCAATCGCAGCTTCGAAAACAAATCATTTTCGAAGACCTTTTGGCAGCATCAGAACCTGTATCTCATAGATGCCGTGCGCCTATATGATTATCCTTCATTCTTCATCACAATTAGTCCGTATGAATGGACATTTCCTTTTCCGCCATTTCTAGAGGAAATCAGATCCCACTACTTTAAGGACGTCACGGAGACCCCCACCATTGAAACTCCACATCGCACACGTTCTAGAACAAATCGCCCGGGGATACCTCCCTGGCGGAAATTGCAATCGATGGCGAACAAATGTATTCACTAATCTCCAAGATCCAACTTCCAAGAACTTGCAAACCTTTTTTCACCGTTTTGAGTTCCAGAAACGCGCCACTCTTCATCTTCATATGCTTGTCTAGGTAAAGGACATTTCCGCCACCAGAGCAGATCTTCTTCACGCCTCAATACCCTGGGAAAACGCACGAGACGCGTTCACCGTGGCATCCATCCAAAAATGTGACAAGTCCTTCCTACCCATTCGTGAGTATCCGGATTCCTTCATCACTGAACGTAATGGAAGACATACCCTTCAGTTCAGCACACTGAAGACGACGCTGAGCGACACATACGCGCGTATATCACCACCTTATTGGGATCCCTCCATTGCAGAACGGACGTTTAATTGGCAGATGGAAAGGCCCTTCTTCTCAAATACGTGAGCAGTTATGTCACAAAAATGCATGAAAGCGCCACGTCCGAGGGTCCTTAGTGCACAGATGTCACTAGCTACCAGGCCGCGCATTCATTCCTTCGCACTGTAACACCCCTCGAACCGGAGATGGTATTTCAGCTGTTAAACATCATGGTCTGCTGGACGGACAAGTGCACAGTGTTGTTCAGGCCACCATTTCCAGATCAGACAGAGGGTAACAAAGTGTAAAAAATGTATCTGCAGTGTCCGCCAAATGAAGAGGACCAGACTCTTCTACAATGGTTGAGGTGCCACAAGACATCTGGCTCAAAGCCCAAACCATACACCGACGACCGGGTCCTGGTGGGTGTCAAGCACGTCTCCCTGTTCAATCCCATATTCTTCTACCAACACTTGACCATGAATTTCCCGCATCGCGAGGCCAACCAATTGAGACATGCTGGGGAAGACACCATGCCTGATACGATCAAACATTTTACACAATGCATTGCCTTGACCCCCCAATACTGGGACACTGCGGAGACCATCACCGCTGAATTTGAACACGAGGGTCATAAGGCTTACTTCATCAACACAATCGTCTCTTACGTTCAGTCACTTCATGACATCCTCTACCTTTGGCGCATTCATGTCGTCACTAATCAAGTCAAGGACCTCTGCTCTCTCTCTTTGGAATCCCTGTACCCGCTTTCACCTCATCAAACCACCATACTCGCAGACATCACGGCCGCCCTTTCCTCCCGCCAATCTTCTGTGTCCGACGACAACCATTCTGCCTCCTCTGACTCCAGCTGGCAAAAATACCGCCTTCTTTTGGGGAAGGCGGGCACAGCCAAATCACAAGTACTCATCTGTGCCATTTCTTATGCCATTCGCCATGAACTGTCAGTCCTAGTAGCTGCTCCTGTAGCCTTGCTGGCCCAAGGCTACAACTCCATTTTCTACGAAGACGTGACCACCGATACTCTTCATGGTACTTTCAGCATACCCATTGACGAGCCTCTCTCGAACGAAATCAACTATCGCATTAACCAGTATGACCTGATTGTTGTTGACCAGGCGTCGATGATCTCCTGGCCCATCTTTGGAGTAATGGCCTCCACGTTTAATCGGATGAACCTTCGCCCCGTTGTGGTCCTGGCAGGTGACAAGTGTCAGCAACAACCTTTGCAGACCGTCAACCGCAGCATCAGCTCCACCACCTCCATAATCAACAATAACGCCACCTTCTCTTCCTCTAACGCAGTCATTCATCGCTTACAACAGCAATTCAGAATCGTCGATCCCGAATATGCCGCATTTCTGGACCTCATACGGTTCATACACCCAACCCAGGAGAAGGTGGACAAAATGCAGGACGGCATTGTTCTTTGCCCTGAAGGTCAGCTGACTGACCGTCAAATCTGGACAGCCTTCCAGAGCCATCCCAACAGCACTGTTATGACAGTCTCCCGCAAAGGAGCACAACCAATTATCACCATCGTTGTGGGCCAACTATTTCAGGGACGCCCTCTGACCAACATCCCCTGCGCCTGTGTAGCGGACTCTCAGCCAATCTACCCACACAGGAACATGCGTGTGATATTCACAGAGAACCGCGATAAGGCTGCCTGTGTCGTCAACGGTCAACAAGCCACGATCATATCCTCTCAAATAATACTATCATCCTCCCTCTGCCTGACGGACAACAGGTTTTCGTGTACCCAGTCACACATATGGAGGACGAAGCCCCGGTGACACGTTACCCGTTTACACCAGCATATGCTCAAACCATCATAAAAGCTCAGGGCCAAAACATTCAACATCTCATCATCTGGCTGGACTCAGCGTTGGTTCCAGCCGGTACTGCTTATGTCGGCCTCTCTAGAGTGAGGAGGAAATCGGCCATCTCTTTGCTGCAACCCATCTTTGCAGACCAAGTAACGCCGGTGCAGCTCTGAGGAGGCCACCATATTGACCAGTCGCTCATAATAGTCTCCCTTCTCTTCAACTCTCCTCTTCTTTCCTGTTTCAGTTGTTCCAAACTCATAAATCACCATCCTCCTCCCTTTACTATTCCAATGGTCTATATCTTTTCTAAGAACAGACAACAACAACACTAGGTACCACAGGTACGCTCTTGTGTCGAAGAACACGAGCTGAGGTAACCAACCCTTGGGGAGTGCCGTAAGAGAGCCACCTGTGGACCTCCCTTTGTGTCTGTTCTACACCACTCATCTATTCACATCTTTCGACTCTCTCGTAGTGCTACCTCGTCGTGGTGAGAGTCCCCAGTAACCCGTGTTCATCCCCAAAAGGGCCTATCCCTCAAACGGGGTTCCATGGGTGAAGCCAAAGAACTACACAAAAACCATTTCTCCAAGTCTTGTCTTTCCTCTTTCCCACAACGCCCTTTCAGAGTGACGTCCCCCAATTTGGCCGTCAAAGCCTTTTAGGATGACCAACCCTGTCTGAGTCTCTGTCTGGCACAGACACAACTTCCACCACTAACCATTCTTCATTTCACAGGTATGTCTCATTCTAGTGGAAACAACGGCTCGACACCAAAGCCCAACTATAACAAGCACTTCCCCTGTAGTTTTATGTTAAACTATGGGGAAGCGCTCGCCAACCTCAGCGACGACAAGATCATCTGTCGTCTGTTCGACTGGAACTGCGAGTGGCTCTCGCGGCCGAACATAGCCATATCCGAAATGGCCAGTACCCAAAAGGACAACTGGACCAACATAATGGCCTATAGAGGAACCGTCTTCACTGAAGACTTTGTTGACGACCTGCGGGGCTTTGTCGATCCCATCACCGACGCCCTAAGACGTGTCCACAAAAAAGACAAACTAGACACAGATCCCCCGGATGCCAACGATGTTCTCCAGATCCTCAAAGCCATAAATTTTGATCCTTGGGTGGAGGACCTTTTTACAGATGCGTTCAACGCCGTTTGGCCCGTGCTCATGATGGCAAGCTCGTGATCAACTGCCTGATGCACAACCCGGACGTGCTCGCAGAGCGCACCGTCCGAGCTGCCACGTCCGAAAAATTTAAGGCAGACCCAACCTTCAAAAACATGATGAAATATCTAATAGACATCTTGATGATGCGGCGCACCGTGAAAAGAGCCACAAACGATTGGGATTCAGCTGCATATTTGCAAGACGATGAGGACGACAGCCATCAGCAGCGGCCCAGCAGATCGGGAAGAACCCTGGCACATCCCCATCCAACAAGCCAAGACTCATCTGCTGGACCATTCACATCCAGAAGACGTGTGCCCTCAACCTCAACAGACAGAGGTAGGACTTCAAGGAGACATCCACCCAGCCTTGAAGTCAGTGGCATCACTGCGCTAGCCAAGAGCGACGACGAAGAGGACCAACTGCTGGCGAGGCCAAGACAAAAAACCAGATATCAGCCCAGCCCTCTGGACAAAGAAGACGACTTGTCCCAAGACAATGAACTGTGAAACAGCAGAGCAAAGAAGAACAAAAGGCCACTCAACAGACCGTCCGTTGCCAAGAACAGGAGACATGTCGTCAACGTCGACAACGACGAAGAAGAAGAGGCCGAGCTGTTCATGACGTAGGCGACACCGCCCAAGAAAAAACATAAGAAGAAACGTACGCGATCTCCATCACCTGAGCCGGAAACTGTGGTGACAACCTCCACCAAAAAAAGAAAGAACAAAGAGAAACTACCCCAGCCAGAGGAGCCAGTCACGACCTCCAAGAAACACAAGAAAAGCAAGAAAAACAAAGCCAACCACCACAACGGACTAGAAAAGCTTATATCTGACCAGGACGAGGTCCTGCGTCTGTTAGCAAAGGGAAAGCAAAAGTAGTCCCGACATTTTTGACACTGCACTTTCGCAATTACGCGCATGCAGTATTTCAGCTATAAGTGACACAGTGCCGCTTAGTTTTCTTTCCCTTTTGGGCCATTAGGGCCACCACTTCTCCAATTTGTAAGGCAATGTGATTAAACCTTGTTTGAAATTGAAAAACATGGTGTGGACTCCATTACTCCTAGGGCCATTTCTTTTCCACAAGATATGCCAAAAGGGAAGGGGCGATACTCAGGGGGGGTTGAAGACCCATTGGGGGGTCCCCTTTCGAAGAGAGTTCCACACCCCCAAAAAGGGTTGAGAAAAAAAATGGGGTTCGGCTAAGAAGGGTGGTCAGGGGTGGGGAGAAACCCTTGTGATCACTATGGTCGAATAAGGTGCAGGTTATTAGTTCGTGCTCGTTTGCAACTCCAAAGGGGGAACGTATTCCCAAAGGGACGTTTCACTGGAGGACTCGGGGGCGCCTCCGAGGTGAGCTCGTATGCGTCTATATGTCTTATGGTAACTTTTCTGAAACATTTTTTGCGACCTCTTTAGAAAATTCTCAAATTTTGCAGGCAAGTTGCTTTTGTTGACAGACGTGTTGTGTGCAAATTGGAGCGTCCAGTGTCAAACCTGGGGGGAGCTACAAGGGGTCAACCAAGGTCACCAAGGTCGCAGCATTGGATTCAACAGCTATGAACAACAGCTCTGAACCCAACCCAGCCACTACAGACTCGCTGATAAAGAAACTAAGCTACAATTCAAAGAAGTCCACATTTACGTGGCGAGGTTCCTTCGATGAGTTGAAAATCTTTTGCTTCGAACTTTTAGATATAGATTCCACCACGTGCTCGATAACTCAAAACGAGCAAAGAAAATCGATAAAAGCAAAATCCTTGACAGTGAATTATTACAAGACTGGGACGTTACAACTTCAAGGAAACAACGTTCAATCAGCAAAGGATAAACTTCGAGCAGCTATGGACGGTGGTAAAACCAATTGTGACCTGAACGATGAAAGCGAAGATGTTGTTAGCGACCGCCATGTTGTTGTGGACGACGACAAATCACAAGTGGACACTCCTGAACTCTCAGAGACATCCAGCAACGAAACGGACCACTTTATTAAACCTATCTCCCCTCACTCTCTTGACGTAAATATTCTGAGTCTAATTAACGACCTAAGGACTGAGGTAACCAAACTTTGGAGCTGTGTGCAATCGATGCAATATGCAAATAACTCGAAGACTTTGCAAGAACTTGATGCTGTCAAGAACGAGAACCACACCTTACAACAAGAATTACAAGCCGCTAGAGTTCACTACACCGAGCTACAGAAAGAATTAAAAGCTATTCGAGAAGAAAGAGATTCATTGAAACTAGCGCTTCAAATAGTCTCCAAAGATTTGTATCACAATTCATTTGCCATGCAACCTGATAACTCCCGCGTTGACACGGAGTACCAGGATACTCAAGATTTTGTTTTGGTGGGAAAAAAGAAGAAGACCGGTGACCAACAAAACCAGCCTTCGACAGAGACAAACCAAGACGGGAGACATTCACAATCGAAGACGTCGTCATCATGCCAATTAAATACAGAGCGAACAAAAGGGAACTCAGGTGGTGGCCGAAGTACTCAACGCAAGCAAAGAGAGGTGTTCGTTGTTGGTGATTCCATCCTAAAGAACTTGCAAGGGAGGAAAATGTCAAGTAGTGCTAAGGTCAAGATTTCCTCTTTTCCGGGATGTTCGACTCAGGACATGAGAGATCACATTAGACCTATTTTACGGAAAAACCCAGACGAAATTGTACTTCACGTTGGTACCAATAGTCTTCGCTCATCCACATCCGCGCGCGAATGTGCTGAGGAGATCGTTAATTTAGCCCACATGATAAGCGACGAATCTTCGGCTAAATTGTCGATTTCTAGCCTTGTGTCTAGAGCAGACGAGGAGGGCCTTGGTGTCAAAGTCTCTGGTTTAAACAAGATACTAAGGAAATTTTGTAATCAAAATGACTGGGGCTATGTTGACCATTCCAACATCTCCGCCGACCACGACTTAAATAGAAGCGGTCTCCACTTGAATGCAAAAGGAACTGCTCGATTGGCTTCTAACTTTGTTAAATTTTTAAAATTAAGAGGAGATTAGAATACTGTCGAGCGGGAGTCCGACGAGGACATGCTTTCCAGGGAGTCCTGCAAGTACACTTTTAGTAAGGGTAAGCCATCAAAATTTTTAAATTCATTCGGTCGTGGTTTTGTCATGGCATCGCTTAACATAAACAGTTTACTCGCTCATATTGACGACCTTAGGATATTTGTGACTGATTCTAAAATTGATATACTTGCAATCAATGAGAAAAAGCTAGACAGTTCCATTGGTGACTCCGAAATATCTCTACCAGGATTTGAAGTCGTTAGGAGGGATCGTCCGGTGAGTGGGAGATGCGGTGGCGGTGTTTGTATATATTTACGAAATAACATAAATTATCATATACGGCATGACTTAAGTGATAACCAACTCGAATGCCTTGTTATCGAAATTACTAGGCCGCATTCTAGACCCTTTTTAGTAAGCACGTGGTACCGACCTCCAAGTTCCTCCCAGGACATTTTTAGTCGATTTGAAATCCTGGTGGATAAAATTGACTCGGAAAACAACGATTTCTACCTGCTGGGAGATCTGAACTGTGATATGTTGCACAATCGGTCAAACTACCACATTTCGTCCAATTTAACGAATATATTTGATATTTACGGATTGAGCCAAATGATCTCTGAACCAACCAGGATTACATCAACATCACGCACATTAATTGACCTTTGTATAACTAATTCTCCCGAAAAAATTGTTAACTCTGGTGTCGTTCATCTTGGGATTAGCGATCACTCACTGGTTTTTATGACTATAAAAATACGTTATGAACGTGTTGGCACGCACCGTACTATCGAAACTCGTGATTACAAAAAAATTGACAGCGACAAATTTTTAAATGACCTTGTTCAACAGCCATGGGATTTAATTAGCTTAGAGCCAAATCCAACTGCTATGTGGGATGCGTGGAAAACCCTGTTCATGGAAATTGTCGATAAACATGCCCCACTGAAAACAAAGCGGATCTCAAAAAAGCATTCTCCGTGGATTACATATGACCTGATGCGTAAAATCTATAAACGAAATTATTTGAAAAAGAAAGCTATTATCGAAAACAATGCGGCTAGTTGGGAACAATACAAGCAAGCGCGGAATGAAACTAACAATGCTATCAAATCAGCCAAACGTCAGTATTTTTTGCACAACTTAGAGTTGAATAAAAAGAATTCGTCCAAAACTTGGAAGCTAATTAACGAACTGAGCTCGCGTAAATCTTGCACAAACCGCAATATCACTGAAATTAAAACAGATAACGAAACTATAAATTCTGCGCCCGAAATTGCAGAAGCTTTTAATAACTTTTTCACCTCTATTGGACCAAATCTAGCCAGTAAATTATCACCTTCTAATATCGACCCTGAAAGTTATTTACAACCCACTAAAACAGCCTTCTCCTTAAGGGCTCTTAGTGTCACAACTGTGTGTGAACTACTAAGTGAGCTTGACGAAAAGAAAGCCATGGGATTGGACGGAGTTCCTTGTAAACTTCTGAAATTAGCCAGTTCCATTATTGGACCATCATTAACGAAAATTTTTAATAGCTGTATAGAAACAGAAACCTTTCCAGATGAATGGAAAATCGCCAAGGTGACTCCTATCTTTAAAAAAGGATCAAAATCTGACCTGAATAACTATAGACCAATTTCTGTATTGCCAATTGTCTCAAAGCTATTCGAGAAAATTATCTATCAACAACTCTACGATTACCTAGATAAAAACAAACATTTGAATACTTATCAATCCGGCTTTCGATCGCTCCATAGCACCATGACGGCGCTACTTGAATCAACGAACAACTGGTCTATTAACATAGATAACGGCCTTTTAAATGGTGTGGTATATATCGATCTTAAAAAGGCTTTTGACACCATTGACCATGCAATTTTGTTACATAAACTTGCAAACTATGGACTTGATCTGGGTTCCCTACGATTCTTTGCCTCCTACCTAGGTAACAGGAGCCAGAAATGTTATGTTAATGGCGTATTGTCCAGTGCAAGCGAACTAAGATGCGGAGTCCCACAGGGTAGTATTCTCGGTCCTTTGTTCTTCTTAATCTATATAAACGATCTTCCAAACTGCCTTAATTCAGCATGCGCTAAAATGTTCGCAGATGATACAACTATTACCATTTCTGGTTCCTCTCTAGCTGACCTTGAACAAGAGACTAACTTAGAACTACTGAACCTTCACTGTTGGCTAAAAGCCAATAAGCTTAGTCTTAATGTTGCGAAAACCGAGTTTATGGTTATTGGCTCTCGCCAAAGCTTCTCGCGGAAAGCCATAACGAAATAAACATCAAACTAGAAGACCAAGTTATCAGCAATGTTGATCACGCAAAATCATTAGGTCTCATTATTGACAATCGGCTTTCCTGGTCTAATCATGTTAACGAATTGTGTAAGAAGGTAACTTCGGCTATAGGTGCCCTTAGACGTATTAGGCCCCTTATCTCCCAATCTACTGCGGTACTAGTCTATAACT